GCCTTAAAGTTCTCTTACTATCTAAAGATGTTTGTGCAACACATTCCCAGAACTTTTTCTTCCTAACTTGAGATCCCTTTACATACTTCACGCATTCTCGGATCTTGTCAACAACATCACCTATTTCCTTCAAACCTTCTTGAACTATCAAATTCAAAATATGAGCACAACAGATATGAAATAAACTACCATCACACAACAATGCATCTTACAGATTAAGTTGATTTTTAAGCAAATCAACCAACACATCATTTGTAGCAGCGTTGTCTAAACTAAGTGAAAATAGTTTTTTTCTCAATACCCCAACTATTTAACAAACTATAAATCTTTTCACACAAAACAATTCCAATATGGGGAGGATGCATGTAAGAGAAATTCAGGATTCTCTTTTCCAACACCCAATCTTTATCAATGTAGTGTGCAGTGAGACTCAAGTAACAGTTAGTAATAATAGAAGTCCACAAGTTAGAAGTCAAACAAATCCTACCAGGTGCTTGATTCGGTTCACCCTAATCTCCAAACATGATCTCAGTTGTGTGTATGTGGCTTATATGAGTAGGCGAGTGTCAATCTCCCTCGGGTTCGATGCTAGAAATGGGACAAATCGTGTTGTGAATGAAAATGTATGTGTGCATTCAAAAATGCTCCCCCCAATTGAAGAGAGACTTACAATGTCGTGTTTTACTTGGAATTGAGTATTCCAATGTCGTCTCCTCAGGGAAGGTAGGTCGAATTGTAGTGAAGGGTGATTTGTAAAGAAATGCAAAGTGTTTTTTTTTTTAAAGAAATGCAAAGTGTAAAATCTTGTGAGTTTTGTGTTTTGAAAGTGAAGTTTTTGATAAAAATGCAAGAACATAAGGTTGACTAATCCAAAGAGGTCATTTCAATTGGAATGTCAAATCAACTCAATTAATTCAAACAATGGTGTCTCTTTGTTTGATTCGTAAGAAGTGAGGGACTAATATGGAGGTATAGGCTCAAGTATACTCTGTGACAAGTCTACAATGCATCAAGAGCTCACAACTGCGTTTGCACTTAACCTAGTCAAACCAAACAATTTACACTACAAGGGTAAATGAAAGAGAGTTAATTTCACATACTCGAAAGAAAATTCTCTTTGGATTAGCCAACTAAAAACTTAGCTACTCATAGTCAAAGCAAGAACATACAAATGTAAAGATACATGGTGATGAAATAAAGCTTGGAACTTGTATTGAAGCAAGAAGAAGTTAAACTACAAAAGTAAATTTCATTTCATACCCAAATGGAAAGCTTAGAAAGAAAAACTCAAATGTAAACATGGAAGTACAAGAACATGTAGCTAGACTTGATTACACTTGAAATAAATGTGATTAAAAATCAAGATGTAAAGATTACAAATGATTTAAAGTTTACTACAACTGAAATGGTGGAGAAAATGCAAAAACTTAACTTTCTCTCTATAAAATTTCATCTTCTTTCTTGAACTTCTCTCACTAAACTAGTGTAAAAATTTGAATGATGGAGAATAGCTTTGTCAAAATTCATCCATAACCCTTCCTTGATCTATGAGAACTGAGTTTCTATGATTGGAAGGGGTATGGGTACTGCTACAAGCAACCACGAGCCAAGCATTGCCTCTTCCATGCTTCCCCCAACCACTTATCTTCTCTCTCTTCCTCCTCCATGCTTTCCCTTCCAAAATCAGGCTTTAGGTGTAAAAGAGCATCATAGTGTGTCACAGATGTTAGGGCATATGTGAGGTGACAAGAGGTCGGCCCCCAAGTAGATGAAGTTAAGATTGCAGGCTTCAGGCGTTTCTGGGCAAAACCTATTGGTAGAACAATCATGAAACCTACCGGTAGGTTTAGTGCACTGGAACTCTTCTACCAGTAAGTTTTGATGAACTTCTACTGGTAGGTTTTTTCATGCTTTGGCATTTTCTTGGTCTCTTGATGTCCCGAGCCATCCATTAAGCCTTCCCTTCTTCTTCATTGACTTGAAGCACTTGATGGAAGGCTTAATACATGCTCTTTACCTACAATCACATGAATCTCCATTAAACATGAGTTTAAATGCATTTTTCCCATTTTCACCACAAAAGCAAGTATAAATGGGTGCAAAGAGATACATGATATGCAATAATCTATGCTCATCACCAAGCAAGTCTTGTAGTTCTTGATAAATCCTCCATCTCTGTGTAGTATATAATTTCATTACATCCACCCTAGCAATATTCCTAAAAATTTGCACGACTTGGGGACATAAGTAGGTGAAAAGACTTCTAATGCCACCATACTCAACAAATTGAAATGGAAGTTCATGTCTAACAATTGCACAAATCAAAAACTCTCTAAACTTCCCTCCATCAAATTTAAAAGACCTAGATCCCAAAGCACCATTGGATTGGGTTATAAGTAGTTGACCAATATCATATATGGTTCACTTCAAACAAGTTGCAGTGTGTCACTTGAAAATCCCAATGTAGTGCTTACTATCAACATTATAAGCTTGCTTACATTTCTTACATTCACATCTCAGCAATCCTTCTGGACTTGATTCTTTAAGAAAAGTATAGTTTTCCCATACTTTTGAGGTGAACCTCCGTTGACATTTGTTTGTTGGTTTATCAACATCATACGGTTCTAGCCCATCTTGAATATCAGAAGCATGATTTGATTCAGCCATGGCAACATCATCAGCTACAGGGGCGGGTCCATCGATATGTTTGTCATTCAATGGAAGTGAATTCATCTGTTCCCAACACAAATGCCAAAAAAAAATATGTAAGCAAAATACACAAACTTCGAATTTGTATATATGTATGTTATTTATTTAGAATTTATAGTCGTATTTGTTCAGAATTTATAGTCGAATTAGTACTGCTCGAAGTAAAACATTACAGTTGTAAATCACAGTTTAAATCTTGAAGCACAAAATCACAGTTTGTGCTTCAAGCACAATTTAAAATTTGAAGCACAAATCATGGTTTAAAGCTTCAAGCACTGCTCGAAGCATAAAATTACAGTCGAATTTTTACTGCTTGAAGCACAAAATCACTGTTTAAAGCTAAACACACACACACACAGAGGCGAACCTTTTCAATTGAGCAACGAAGGCTGAACGACAAGGGCTTGAACGACGAACGCTTGAAACTTTTCGGCTGAATAGTGAGCCCTCCCCTCCTCCTCCAGACCGGCGGCGGGTGTGAGTGAAAAAGTGGAAAAGTGGATAAGAGAAGTAGGTTAGAATTATGTTTTTTTTTTTTGCTTTTATATATTTGGATAAATGACTTAAACAGGTAACACCTGAGTTAGGTGGAGTTCGGGGTCGAATCATATGAACCAACTTAAAATATACGGATTAATTGGATAAAATCGAATAGAACTGATTTCGATACGAACCTGACATACTTTTTTGTGTGTATGTGTTAACCCGTTTTTATCTATTGAACAATGTAATTTTGTGTTCGACCTATTAATTTTATATTCAATTCGTGTTGTGTCGAAAATTGACATCTTTACTTAAAATAGTGTAAAATCTCCATTCACCGCCCTGTAGACATGTTTCGTGTTATTTCTCATATACAATTGTATCGACAACGATCAAAACACACTTTAAAAATGATATAAAGGCCTCAAAAAATGATAAACGCAATGCCAAAAGGATGTCTTGCCAATTAGAATTCAGGATTGATGACATGATTTTATAACAAGTTGTCAATTAAAATTCAATGCTAACATTTATTATATCACTCACTTTGCAAAGTGATTAAATATTGAGTCATCATACATAACAGACCAATGGTAAGCCTAGCCAATTGTGAAAGCTCAATGACATGACAACGTAGGAATTAAACTCGAACCAAATTCCAGAAAGGAAAATATTATTGATATTTAATTTATTAATTTTATTTAGTGGCATAATGAATCATAATTATTGAATTGATATTGAATTTGAACTAATAGTGAGATCTACTCTCAATTTAATGATAAAAAAATAATAAAATTACTAAATAAAATTCACTAAATAAGATGGATATAACATTTCTTTTTAATAAAGCATTCGTTTTTATCATCTTCTTTGAGAATTGTTGACACTTGTGTTTGTCCGAAGTTGATCGATAACACTTTTTCGCTTTGTCAAACTTTTTAAAAGTAGAGAGGTCATCATTTTGGACCCAAAAAATATTACATATAAAGATACCCAAACAGTCATAATCGAGGTGGCCGCCCATCTTTGTGGGAGGGGATCAAATCGCTTCTCTTATATATAATAAAATAATTAAATCTTGTTTATAAAAACAACTCAATCTTGTATATCAAGTCATAATAGATGATTTTGCGATTTCTAAAAAAATCACAAACCACATGATGTGTGTAGTCCCAAAAATCGATCAAATATTGACTTTTCCTTTAAATTTTTTCCAAAAAAAAAAAAATCTTATTCGTTCCTCTGTCAAAAGCATAAGAGATTGATTCTTTTGTGAAAATCACAACAGAAGAATAGCTACAGTAAAACTAAGCCTGGCCACTTTCCTTTCGTCAAAGACGGTGCACCACTTTCTCATTTGAATTTTGTAACATTGCTCTAGTGCAAAATAGATAAAGAGGAGACCCACAGCGCATCTGCAAACGAATATAACATCTGTGATCTTACCAGCTGATAACACAAGCATAGATTTATCAGAGTAGGCTTTTGAATCATATCGGTCGACCAGAGAGATGGTTGGCATATGATTATGAATCATATCTCTGGACAACAATCCAGGCAAGCCTGTAAGTCCATCTAAACGAATGCACCCACATTCATCCTATCTAGATTCCAAGAATTTCAGGTAGGAATCACCCTCTCTTACTAGTTGTCTTACTTATCACGAGATCAAAGAATGCACTAAAAGTACATCTAAATCGGGCGAAACACACAACAGATGTATAACCTTTACATATTGCACGAATAATAGAAAATGTATAAAGCAGTGGTGGTTTGCAAACTGAAACCATATGAAGAATTCAGTATGTCTCAGGAACATCAGAAGTCCAAAGATTTTAGTTCCTCACAAAATCAGGTTGATTGGTAACAGATCTAACCCATGCCCACTTATGGTCTTTTGTGTCAACTACATTTTTGGCCTGTGCCACCTCTTCTACTGGAATATAAACATAGTTGCCATTAATAGGACCAGGGACGAATCCAGTGTAACCTGCCATTACACCATGAATTGCCGAGTGCGCAAGGAGAGTACAATATAAGTTGTCAGTTGCATTAGCAGGGACAGCACGTATCATGTACGTCGGGTCTACGTATTTCACCATAAACAACTCATTCGGGTGATCCCGATCCCACCACTGCTTAAGCTCAGACTTCAACCACCCGCCAACATCTAAGAACACTTGATTACCAGATTCATCCCTGTCATGTTTCTGAGCTTCAGTTCCTGGTATAACATCTTGTCCAGCACCCTCAGCAACTACTAAAACAGCATGGCCATTCTGTTCCAGTCGATCTCCAAGGAATTCAAACAGCCCTCCTTTTCCTTCCAAGTAAAACTCGTTTTCAGGAATTAAACAGCAATCCACATCACGGCTACTTAAAGTTGCATGCAAGGCAATGTGCCCTGTGCTACGCCCCATAAGCTTCACCAGGCCTACGCCATTAACTGCAACATTCAATTTACGGCACCGAATCTCTTTAAATATCTTCACTGCCCCACGCATTGTGCCATCTCCACCAATGATGTAAACCTGTTCGTACATGATTGCCAATCAGCACCACCATCCATGATTATATAAGCTTGCAGTGAAAAATGGAAGTTTCAAAATTTTACCCTAGCAACACAAAATATGGCTCTTAAAAGTGCCACATTACAAACTCAATGAAATAAAAGCGCACCAGGTCTATCTTCCTCCATCTTTGCTTTTTATAGCATGGACAATACAACCCTTATAGTCGAATTTGCATTGTCTATAGGTCCCTTCCATTTTAGATTTAATGACTATTTTGGGATTCAAGGTGATTAGGTCTTGTGAGGCACCCTACGTTAAGCCAAGGTACTTCAAAAGGGAGGGAATTTTCGATTCAAACAATTAACACGACTCGAATGGAATACATTATTAGCAAGTTTGGGTTAAGCATGATCAGGCGCAAACTTAAAAAGGCATGACTAGCTAATTCAAATATTAAATAGGTCGGGGTTTATCAAATACCCATTTATTGGTTGGGTTTTTTACTTGATTATGCTAGTATCAGAATCAAGTCAATTTTTAGTTTTATGGGGCCCATAAAAGGTGGGTTTAACTGTGAATGGAGAGGATACCAATTCTAGATTTCTAGTTGACCAGTTATGTGTGCCTATACAAACACGACACAATAATTAAACTGTCAAGTTAGCATTGACTAATATGTGAAACGAACTCAACATGACATGAACCGAACACAACAAGACTCTACTCAATTGACACCTTTACCCTTTGGCCTAGCTGAGATAATTCAAGCTATTGCCTAACATTTCGTTCACATTTTATAGCACACTATTCTATAGTTGACGAGAATACATATACTCCTATCCTATGGATAAAAGGAGATGGTGAGTTTGGTGTCCTTTCCTTTTATTGACAGTTATTAATAGTTAATTACAACCTTATTATTACTATTTTAGTTTTTTCATTTAACTACCTATAGCTTTAACTTCTTTTCTAACCACATCTACCCACCTAAATTTATCTATTTTAATTCTTTTCTACTTCCATATCTTTCCTCTTCTTCTTCTGTTTGCAGATGGGTACCAAGTGTGCACACCCCTAGTAGGTTATTATGCATGAGACATGACATAGTATAAGGCATCATAATCGCATATAAAACGGGACTAGTTATAAGCAACAAATTAAAAAAGGAATAACAAGTCAACGACCCATCCCCAAAGAATTAGGCAAATCCATCACTACAGTCAAGAACCAACTTAGGGGGCCGTACACCTTCACTTACTAGGAATTTGAACAAGATTTTTGCAAAGAGACTTTATAAGCAAACCTGTAATAGCGCCATTCTAGAAGAATCTAAGCTTGCTAGGAATCAAAATTCTGAGAGCCACAGGAAAGAGAGAAGGGTGATTGGCTACCTCCACACGAGCCCTAGTTAGCAGGTTACAACTACAAGTTGCCAGATAGGCAAAAATGATATGATTAATTAAAACCAAAACCAACACAAATGAATTCCATTTGATAACTAGAAACAAAATTCATTTGTTTACAAGTTTTCTAGCAATTAAACGTCCACTTGAGATGTGCAGTGCTAAAACATGCTTGACCATGTTAAATTCTGCCAATATTTGAGCAAGGTTTGAATTAAAGACTGCAGTGAAGCAAGGTCTTATATATAAAGGTTCTCTTGGGATATTCCCTAGGAATAGGAATTAGAATGGGAATGGGAATGGGAGGGAGGCTTCACAAATAGCTAGTAATAATTTTGCTTCTGGTGATGAATTACCGAAAAAAAAGAATCATCAAATGTCAAGCTGTAAGAAAATCGGTTCAAAGCATCAATTCTCACTGTGGAATACAATTTGAGGTGAAATAAAATTTTCTCAACAATTCTATAATGACTATTCTGTATATCTTATAAGCTTTAAATACACCAAAAACGAAGAACTTTCGGATTCAGAAATCAAACACCCAAGCAAATTAACCTAGCTCTTTAAACACAACACAAATTAAACAATTATGCAAGAAATTTCATCAACTAAAAAACTCATGACACCAGGAGGATTGATTCAGAGTTGGAGGGAAAAGAAAGTGAGAAACCTGATTGCAGCCACGATCTTGGATGGCATTGATGATCTTATCAACATCGAAACCGCCCCTAGAGGTCTCGAGCACCGTCCCTCCCCTCTTGTGCCAGTTATGAACCAACTTGGGATTGAGAAGCACCGGTTCGAAGGAGTGAAAGCCACAATACCCAGCTTTGATACCAAGGATCTCACGAACCCCATAGAGCTCCCAGAGCCCCACCACGAGCTCTCTGATCACTGTGCCGAGACCAGGGCAGAGACCACCGCACGTGACAATGGCGGCACGCACGTGAGATGGCTCGAAGAAGATACGCTTGCGTGGGCCCGCACGGAGGTAGGCCAAGTTGCTGGGGTGCAGGAGAAGGGAAAGGGCCCCGAAAAGAGTAAATATTGAATGCAAAGGTAACACCAGTACCACGTTATTATTGATGATATAACATTATCTATTAATAATAAAATTTTATATAGAAAAGATGAATCTTATTTGAACTTACATAACAAATAAATGAAAAATTATTTGTTTATCTGATAGATTAGTTATTAACTTTTGTAGGTTCTATTGTTTGAGGTATTTTAAAAATTGTAAAATCACTTATTGATATTTATAATATCATGTAACTTCAAATAAAATAAACGGTAAATATGAACTGTAACACAAACCAAAACAGTTATAGTAAACACAAAAGAGTTACAACAAACAGATATACGTAACTCTATGCCAAATTAATATAAAAATTAACCTGGTTACAGAACAGGAACTGTTATTAAACTCGTAATAGATCAAGGTTAGTGTTTGACACTATGTCCTTAAAATAGATTTTGTCCCCATACACGGTACTTATGAAATTCGAGCGTCTGTCTTCCAGGATACAATGATCTTCCACGAACAGAAGTAACACTTCAATCTATTCGTACAGCGAACCAAAACTTATGTTGTGTACTCTCCAAATGTATTGCCTTAAAATGCCGACCTAACCAGTAGACATCTTGAATAACTGTTTTTCATGAACAGTTATATCTTAAAAATTTCAGATTTGAGCAAATCTGAGCTATCCAAGGGGTTTTGGGTTAAGAAATTCATGTTCAATTAAATTAAATGAATTTTCTCCAAAAAGATAGAGCTTGATTTAAAGCACATTCGCATCCGCACCCCGAGCCCTGTCGGGTCATGCGGATGGCGCACACGCGCGTGTGGTAGACCCAACGACATGTAGGTGTTCGCTCCGCTCATAAAATTGTGGTATCTCTTGGAGCCCAACCCATAGAACAAACTTGAGTTATATATGCCCATGTTGAATTTCTTACTCAACCAATGTGAGATTAGTGTCAAATCCCACATTGCACATTTTCTATTTTCACTTTTCAAGAGAGTCATTTTGGAGCCTATTTTCTCATTCATTTTTTACTCGATTTGAGCAAGTGAATATTCCACATTATATTTCTCACGGAGTAGAATATGAACTCATGAAAATTTATTCGAAATAACTAATGGGTTTCACTTTAATTTAGGCTCAAAATTAACCAAAAACTCCATTTTTTATACTAAAAAATTGCTTTTGGTCTAACAAGTTCCATGTGTTTATTTGTTCTAATACTATTAATTGGTGATACCACATCATTTTATCATGTGGGTATCGCAGTTGTAATGAATATTTTCTCCCTAGAAAGGTTGTAGACTACCTGACGTAGGATAACGTCAGAGTGTGAGAGATAAAAGTAGTCGAGGGGGATGGTAGGAGGGGTGTCCCTAAGCCTAGGCCACTTTGTTGGCCGCCTAAGTCTCCAATTTTTGCAAAATTTTAGGACCCTCGTTAATGGTTTTAGTTTTGAGTACATGTATTTTGGATGAGTTGATTTGAAATGGCTCAAAATTTATTGATAAGTCCATTTAACACTTAACAATTTAGCTAGAAAATTACTCCACTTACCAACTATAGTAGACTGCTTGACTTCTGAAATAAGGAAGGTAGACAACTATATATCTCTCTCGTCTGTGAAGGAATTAAGCGAATCTTCCTACATTACTCAATCTCTCTCGCACAAATTTATCAACTGTTATCATTACAGGATTCACTCACAAATCACAGTATCTGTTTAACACCACTCTCTCTCTCTTTCTCTCTCTTTGTGTGAAGTGTTAAGTGTTAAGTGTGAAGTCTGAATCTGAATAAAGAAAGAACACAAAAGTTCTCTATTATCTAATTTCTTGTAATTCAAAAATTCATCAATTAATTGATAGTGATCAAAATTCAAGGATCAGAAATTTTTTAGGCTCAATCTACTATAATAAGTTGATTTGTTCACTTGTTCTCTCCTTTTTTTATTAGAAATTTTATAAAAAAAATTTAGAAGTTTGATGCGCTTATAATTTTTAATATGTTGATTTCATATTTTTGATATTATTGTTAATTTATAATGTCTCCTTTTTTGACAAAACTTAAATATTTGAATCTTGATAACTGATTGCTGAAACTCTAACTTATAAAACGATTGGATTCTTTTCGAAATACATGTATAATTTTTAGAATATTGTTAACAATATCGATAAAAATTGTTTCAGCAGAGAAATTTTTTTTCAAAACTTAGATTAATAAAATTTTATCTCTGATTAACTATATCATAAGAAAGATTAAATTGATTAACTATATTACTTATTGAAAAATATCTATTAACAAAACTTTAATAGTTAAAAAAATAATTTTTAAATAAATATATTTTAATAATTATTGCCATCATATTTTCTCCTAGGGCCTTCGGATTTGTTGGCCCACCCCCGAAAGTTGAAGGGGTTGCGTTGGAGTGGGTTGGTGTAGGTTTGGAGGTTTTCGATGTAGTCAGTTAGGTGAGTTAGTTTCTGGAGGTTTACGGGAGGAAATGAGAGGGAGGCCTCTTGGTGGTCATGATGGTCATAATTCTGGTTGTTTGCGTCGTTAATAGCATTGGTGGTACATTCTGGGGAAGAAACTGCCATGTTGGGTCTTCAATGGTGGAGGAAACCAAGCGACTGAGGATATGTTAATTGATGTGGTTTTTTTTTTTTTTTTTTTTGGGGGGGGGGGGAGAGAGCGAGAGAGGGGGGAGAGGAAGGTGAGGAGGAAGAATATGGTGGACGGAGCAACGAAAACAGAGGGCAAAGGCGGCAACTGTGCTGAAAAGCAACTTGTGGATTACGTGGCAAAAGGTGAGAATAACACGTCTACTAAGGAACTGAAAGGATCCAGCTCCTCTGCTGTACGCCAAGAGCAGCAGGATCTGCTGTTCCTCCAAAATGGCACAGTTTTGATCCTTTTTTTTTATTCCTGTTTTACGTCTCAAACGGTACCGTTCCAATAACTACTGTACAGGGATCTCCCAAAAAATTAGGTAGCACAACCTGCTAGACCAAAAACACACAAAATCCACTTAATTCTTGGTGCACGGCTGGACCAAAAAATCCAAATTCCACCCTGAAGGTTTCCAAGAAAACAAGATTTGTTATTCACAGAGGTAACGATTGGGTTTTGTGATTCGTCTCCTTGGTCCATTTCGATTATTCTTATATTTTTATTTTAGAAAAATTTCAACCACATTTTTTTTAGTTTATTATATATTCAAAAACACCTTCTTTATTATTAAAAACATCACTAACAACCCTTCTAATTTATATTTAAACATCACTAACATCCCCTATCATTAAAATATCATTTCTAACAAAAATAATTCATCTAAAATATAAAAAATGCCCCTACATAAACATCAAGTAAATTTTTACATAAAATTTTATTAAAATTCGAGCCAATTAAAATTTATTTTTCTACATATTAAAATTTGAACCAATTAAAATTCGATTGGAGATGATTAAATTTTATTTTTAAAATTTGAGCTTATTAAAATTTATTTTTTACATATTAAAATTGAAGCCGATTTGAACTCTAACTGAATTGTTAGCGCCGATTAAAATTTGCTTTCGAGTTTATTGAAATTTATATTTTTTTATTTATTATAATTCGAGTCAATTAAAATTTGATTTATTAAAATTTAAGTTAATTAAAATTTATATTTTTTATGCATTAAAATTTGGACCGATTAAAATTCAATGCGAGTTGATTAAAATTTGATTTGAATCGATTAAAAATAAGTTTTAATTGGCTCAAATAGAATTTTAATTAGCCCAAATTTTAATACGTAAAAAATATAATTTTTAATTGGCTCAAATTTTAATATATAATGAATCGAATTTTAATCAGATCGAAGTTTAATACGTAAAAAGAATTAAAAAACAAAGGGGTGTCATTGAAGATATGTTTATCTAGAGAGGGTGTGGATGGACCTCAAAAATATCTTGAACAATTTAGTAAAATTGCATTCTAGTTAATATTTTTAATCTGATAGTGGGTATCATTGAAGATTCAGAAAATAAAATAGGTGTCCTTGAAGATATGGTAAACTAGAGGAGGTGTGGTTATAATTTTCCTTTATTTTTTTTATTAGTTATTTTTTATAGTACCTCATTTATAAATATGTGCACACACACACACACACACACACACACACACACATATATATATATATATATATATATACATACCATAAAAAAATATAAAAAAAATGTGGATATATGTACACACATATACATATATGAAAATATATACACACCCACAACTTTACATTTTTATTAGTTGGATTATTTGTCGTTAAGGTATCTTCATTTTCACAACTAGTGTGTTTACAATTGATGATGCATAAATTGGGTTTGCACATCACCTATTAAAGAATCAGTAATTAAATGAAGTAATTAAGTATAGAGAGAGGCACACAAGCATGATATGTCTTCAGACACATAAAATAACTAGTCTATATATATAATATAAAACATGATATGCTTTAATAAGTACATCTGATGGTTTCAAATAGACTCATCTAACGGTCACCAACGTCTCTTCAAAATCATTCATATTGCACTGTACTTCAGACACGAATTACTTCTAATAAATTCATAATGGAGAATCTAAAAATGACCCATTACCCATGGCCACAAACCCATGTTTTTTTTTCAAGAACAATTAAAAATCTGAAAATGGAGCATCAAAGACAAACTCATGTCTCGTTTCTTATGCTAAAAACTATCCAAATCTCCCAATCAAACAAACAAGAATCCAAAAGCAAATAATCATGTTAAATAGAGCAGAAAAAGGCTTGCACATAAACAACCAAATTTTTGAATTTTTTTGCTCTAACTCGTCCACTTGGGGCAAAAAAAAAAAACATCTTTGGTGAAATTGAGTAGCAACAATACCAAACAAGGTTTTCTCTTCCTCAGGTGTGTGTTTTTGATGTCGATTGAACAATGATGGTGATGTGGATGGTTATGGCGAGGTAATGTCGGGGGTTATGGCAAGGCGATGGCGATGGCGATGGGTCATCGAAGAGGACTTCGACTTCTACTGGTTTTCTACACGACGAAGAGGACAGCTGATTTGGGGAGAGGCTTGGGCACTGCTTATGATTTATTCGAGCGACACAGTCTGATGAGGAAAAAAAAAAAAAAAAGATTGGGCATCTTGTTATGTAGCTCAAACAGACAATGGGGCCTGTTACTTAGGGCACCAGCCCCAAATTTAGGATTATCTAATTCTAATTGGGCCTGACTATATATGGGGGTCTCCAATCAAGTTGGGTACTGCTTAACTCCTCCGCAGCACAACATACCAGTACCAGTAGCACCCCCTATATATCATCATCTCCATTTAATATGGAGTAGGAGTAGTAACAGCATCCTCTCCAAACCAAACAAGCTCCGACGATAAAATTTTTAACTTTGTAACTTGGTAGTTATTATTTCAGGACAATGGGCTATTTTTCGGGCATTTCTATCAAACTATGAACAGATCTGTTGACAGAGAATGATCCAAATTTGTCACTGCGCGTATATAAGAAACCTTATCTTTGCAAGTTCAGATTTTGAGGCCATCAATGTCTTAATTTCTATTGCCGAAAAATTACAAAATGTTAAACTTTTCTAGTTAGTGGATAAGGATTTTTAGTGCTTCTGGTAGTAGAAATCAAAGCAACATAAAGTGCATGGCTTAGTAGCAAAGAACAGATGAACATATAGAAATCCAGACGATATGATGGGCGGCGCCATTGTCTGTGTTTGGGCCTGCTTGACTCCCCTCATGCCAATTAGGAAAGTTTTCAACAATCTTGACAAGCTTCTTAGATGGCATTCAGGGTGCCAGGCAAATCATAATAGACAACCATGTGGTCCACCGCTTAAACCTCTTGCTTCATATTCATAGCCTGCAAAAGTTTACAAAAGCTGCGTAGTTAGAACATTTAAGGACAACTTGAAATAAAACGACAGGCTTCTGGTCATAAGGTTGAAAAAAATTGTGGGTCCAAGTTATAGCGCTCAGCACATATAATTAAGAGGCCTTCTTGGATCATATATGTATATAACACAGAATCACTTGCTTCAGGAGCTTTCCTTCAGTTGGACAGGTGGAAGAATATAACAGCTAAAACCTTTTTCAGGGCTAGAATTAGATAAACCAGCTATTTTTTGGAGTGAATAAGGCATTTATGCATGTGTTGCATGTTCTGTCCTGGCTCTCACACTCCTGCGTATATATAGCTTTCCAACTCTCTCTCCACCAGGCCATAATTAAATGAATTTTAAGAATTGTCATAGCGCTAAAGGAATGGAACCTAGGACAATAGAAGATACACAGAAATAAGATAGACAAGTTGTTGGGAAGGCGGCAGGTAAGACCTCCTTCTAACAAATAGTTCCAATGAAGATGGCCATAGTTGCCTGGGTTTTGCAGGAAAGAAATTTTGGACTCTCCTTCCCTGAGATGAAGTTGATCCCTTCATTCTGTTATTTTATTTTAAATTATTCGTACATATTCTCTCTCTCTCTTTCTCTGTTTGTGATTAAGTTATGCTTGTTTAATAATAATTAATTATGACAGCATGATGATTAATTTAACTACTTCATGTTAATACAAAACCTTTTTAATGACCAGAATGCTTGCCGGTTTTGGACGGGTTCTGGACAGAGCCAAAAACGGCACAAAATACAAGGCCAAGGAAGACTTGTTAATTCGATTTGGCTCTTCTCCAATGAAGGGCTTCTATTATCTACAAATGATCGATCACTAATAGAATAAGTCCATATCAGCACAAAAAGAATCAACGCCTATCCCTTGATGCGTGTTAGCCAATAGATGAAGCCATCCAAGCTTGTCTTAAAGGACCTTTAAGCCTTTGATCTTACACTTTTTGTTACAAAGTTCTTGAGTATTTTCTCACTGACCAAAAGCTTATCACCAACTCAAATGGTCCACACATCTTCGAGGCTAGTATATATATTCATGCAATTAATGTCCTTAAGATATAGTTCTGGCTTGATTCCGGCATGTTGAGGCTTTTCTATTGGCCCGTTGACTAGCTCTAAACTGCTATGGGAATGGCTGTGGTCAGGACTTGGTAGACATATACCTTATGCAAGCAATACATCTGTTAAGCATCACGAGCATCTACTAGAACAGACTCCGAAGTTCAGGAAGGCCCCATTAATTAAATTGCTATGTTTACCCTAGATACTGCACGATTGTCTTTACCCCAAAATATTAGTACGGTAAAGTTTCGTGACTATTAAGATTTTAATCTTTGTAGTTTTTCATTATGTCATGATTCAATAGCATTTCTCTTTTCTATAAGACAAGTCTTATTTTCCCTGCTTCAGAAAAGTTTACAAATACCTTAGTACAGATGTTAGGGAGCTGTGCCATTTCGTGCAATTGATGTAAATTTTCCATCTGTTTCCTAACCTGCTTTCAAGCAATAATCAACTTGGTCATCCTGTAGAGTTTTATTCATGAGACGGAAATTATTTTGTAGGAAAAATATAAATTTTGCACAGCTGTGGCTTCTAATAGTGACCATATTACAGTATGAGCTTTAGTGATTGGAAAGTTTTGTTGGAAACAGAACAGCCTTCATCCAGAGAGTTATTAGGTGAGTTTCTTTTTCATGGATGTGGAAAAAAAATGTAATTTTTACCAAGAAATATTTCTTGGTACACAAATAAGGCAATATATTCATTCATTTATAATTGATAACATGTTGAGTTTTTCTAACTATTATATGAAGTTCCTATCCAAATGAAGCAATAACACCTTGCCAATTTCATTATCAGTGTAATTAGCAATCGATCATAGTATAAAGTATCTGGCTAAAAGCATCAATTGCATAAAAACAAAAGGTTGCAGCTGAAAAAAAGCATTTCAAAAAGAAGTCATTTGCAATAGACCATGGCGCAGAACAACTAAAATGTTGGTGTGTTATTCAATAGTATTTGCACGATAACATGGACAAGAATCTGTCGCTATGAAGATGTCACGGTCTTGGATTTTTTGTTACGAAATGTGACCTAGAGGTGTGCTCTTAGCTATACTAGGCCTGAACTTCCTCTATCATTGGCTTTTCTTTTGATACTTCTTTCTGGTTATTGCTTTCATTTGTAACCTTCTTTATCAGTAGCATCTTGGATGGCAACCAGTGGTATTAGCAGCCTGCAGGTTCTACGGTGATTATGGAAATCAAGGCTTCAATGCCTAGCTACCAATCCAAACCCTTGAGCGCAGATACTATTAGATCAACTCCTACAGCCAATGTCATGTTTACTGCAGTCTCTGCCGAGAAAATTTAATACCATGCACCACTTGTTGACTGGTACCAGCTTGTGTATTTGGAAAACCTATAGGTAGGATGAGCTTCAATCTATACTTAGATAGTGTTAGACCACATATTATTCTAAGTTTGCATAGTCCAACTCTGTTTGCAGGAACATTATCAGCAAGAGCTCCCTGTCCGTTCATGCTTCTTACAAACAAAACCAGGTGCTTTGCCGGAACCCATCATAGGTTGGTAGAAACACCAATTGGCTTAGGTAGCTTTGCAATTGAAAAGGGACTCAATATGACCGTTGTGTACTAGCTTGTGGAGGGAAAGGAATAATAGGTTTTTTAGAAAAGAGAATAAGAATGCTCCAGCCATTCCAAAAGAGATCCTCAATGTGGTTCGCAACAGATTGGTATCTTTGTAAGTTTAAGAACACAAGGAACGCAGAAAACTGATTCACATTTTGCAACCCCCTAATTCTTGCATGCGTAAAGGATAACCAGGACTTTATAGCTCTTTTCTGTGTGAGGATAGGAGCTTGATGTTTCATATATTGGATATCTGCAGGAAGTTCCTTCCAAAAAGAGGTATTTCCACCAGATTTCTCTCCCTTTTAGGTCTTGCTGCGAGCTAGCTTGCCAGGTTTTATATTAGTTAAAATAATAGAGACTCCCAAGACCTGAATGGTTCACCCATCTTTCGTACATGCTGCCTTGTTTCTTCAGGGCTAACTTAGTTTATTTACCTAGGAACAAAGGGCATTCATTCTAAATAGGTTCATCTTCATTGAAAAGAGCTTAGGTAGTTGCTCACGCAGGCTTCCAAGCCAAATGCTTGCAAATAATGCAATCGTCCCCAATCCAACTTTCTCCAACTGCACATGTAGCTATAGGACAAAGTGGATGGTCTTCCCATCTTGTTCCATATCTATAGGACAACGTAAATCATCCATATGCAGGAAAATTTCATTTCAGTAATGACCAATAAAATGACGAGCTTCTTATACTTAAATTAGGTTATAACAATTAAGATGGTGGCTAATAATCAGAACCTCCCCCACACTTATGCCTAGATTTCCCTAGTGTGACCTTATGTCTACTTCTGCTTCCTTCATCCTAATATTACTGCACTGCACAGCAGAAGGGGAGTGATTAATATTCTAGCTGCATGCCTACATTGAAGCAGAACAGAAGGCCTTTCATTTCTCCAATCAGAACACCACCATGTTCTCTTCAGCATCTTTTCAAGCACTTAAATATCATCATCCCCCCATGTTTGAAAGACTGGAGAAGAAGGAGCTTGGCCAGCTAGAGCTTGAATGGGGTTTTATGAAGTAAGAGGCACTAGTGAAGGGGAATAATAAGCTTAAGCTAGCGGCCTCTTTGATTTAACTTCTGATAAGCCTAGACTTTTTTTTGAGCTTGGTTTGGTCAGGAAATGTATAGAATAATAACATGGTGAAATGGAGGGTGCACTACTGCGTAAGGAGTAGCATTACCAATTGTGGATTGTAGTCCAAGTGCCCAAGAAGAGTTGCTCATTTAATTGGCATCTACCTCCTTTTGGAAAAGGTTATTATCAGTAAGGGTGAGCTTAGCTAGCTACAACTGGTTGTTAACAAGATGTCTTCCAGGAGCAACAAGTAATACTAGTACAAGTAGAACTGCAATTCCATGTAATTTGTTGGCTTTGGGTTTCATGTAAATCCTGTGTGGCATTTAATTAATGACCCATCCACAACTCAACTATCCAACAAGCTACGTAGTAGTCAACAGACTCCTCATACACCACCAGGAATAGAAGTCCTCTCTATTAAATGTTTCGTTCTGTTATGATTCAATCTTCGAATCTTAAATAGATTCATGTGTATATATCCAAATCATCTCTACAATGATTGCCATGCTATGCATCTCCATCCAGGAAAATAATAATTCGTAAAAGATGTAATAAAAAAAAGATCATTATTAGCTACTTTTAAGAGATTCAACAATTTTTCTTTTGAACCCAAAAATTTCTCTTTCCTCAGCATACGAAAGTCCCTTCGTGATAACCATTACCTTCCAAAATTAAAGGAAGTCTCTTCGTGAGAGAGAGTTTAGATAGTTTAGGACTCTTCCACTTGCCTGATCTTATCCTAACGTCCTCCTCGGAAACAGAGTCCAGATCTTTTTCTTCTTCTACTTCTTCTGTTTTTTAATTAAATTGGAGGGGATTGGAAAAGAAATAAAAAGAGATATATGTGATTCTCTTTCTTCACGCATAGGGTGCTTAATTATTAAGCACAATATAAATATAAAGTATCACTATCACAGGCTTTTACAGTGACAAAAGCACAATGTTGTTTTCAAAGTTTTCAGTCTTCCTTGCACTATTCGTTCTTTTCTCTCTATTCCAATTACCAGCTTTAGCCATCAGAAAGGTAACACATTGTCTCAATTTCTTCATTCTACATGATAAAAAATTTCTGCCATGCAAATTTTTGTTTTGGTTTTTGTTTTTGTTTTTTTTTTTTGCTGAGCTGACTAGGAAGATAAATTGTTTTCTTTCTTTCTTCCCTCGCCTGGACTTGTTTTGATTCTTCTTTGGGGTGCCTGAACAGTCTTACATAGTTTACTTGGGAGCACATTCACATGGTCCAGGAGTAACGTCAGCTGATCTTCATCGGGTGACTGATTCTCATTATGAGTTTCTTGGCTCATTCTTGGGAAGGTATTGAATTCCGTGTATTGTATTTTTATCAGTGCCCTTCTTTTAGTCCATTATTCTGGGATACAGATGCTGAAATTGCTTTCATGCAGTAAAGAGAAGGCCAAAGACGCAATATTCTATTCATATAAAAGACACATCAATGGTTTTGCTGCAACTCTTGAAGAAGAGGATGCAGCAGAGATTGCAAGTATGACAGACTGCATATACAACATTCTATTCCCTCTATTTGCTATATAACCAGTTTTAGTGTACTAAAAGAAAGCATGGTTTCCCATCTATGTAGAGCATCCGAGCGTGGTGTCTGTTTTCTTAAATCAAGGGAAAAAATTACACACAACCCACTCGTGGAATTTTCTTTTGCTGGAAAAGAATGGTGTGATACATTCCAGTTCATTGTGGAAGAAGGCCAGATTTGGTGAAGATACCATCATTGGAAATATTGACACTGGTAAACTTTTTTGTCCTCTTTTTTTGCGCCTATTTTTCCAATATATATTTATAAAAGCTCAATATTATTTTCGATTCTATATTGGCCTTCGGATTTTTAAGTTAAACATGAGATCAATAATTTCTCATGACTCTGCTAGGTGTTTGGCCAGAATCAGAGAGCTTTAGCGATAAAGGGTTGGGGCCTGTTCCATCAAAGTGGAAAGGAATCTGTCAGAATGACACCAGTGCCGGAGTCCACTGCAATAGGTTAGTTTTTTTTTTTTCGGTTTTCATAAGTAATAATAACAATGTGCTGATGATCATTGTTATCCAAAACTAACTAGATATTTTTTCTTTTTGATAAGTAGTAACGAGATATTTCCCCTTGTTAATAACACGCCAAAGCTTACTAGTTCTGTATATTTGGATGAACTTAATCTTGCAGAAGTAACTGAACTTTTAATAGAATATCTTGCACATAACAACACCGGGTTATTTGTAGTTTGTTGTCGATTATTTGTATGGGAGAAACAGATACATCATTTTTTAGTAAACAAGCATTGCTGAACTTGTTCTGTATCAAGCCTCTAGACAGAAGACGAACGCGACTATAGTGACCATAGAGAATAGGAACCCTTGTACTAGTGTGATCCTTTCATGCCACAGTAGGGTGTCTTACTCTCAAATATAGTGCATGTGTAGTGAATGCCCTAAAAAGCAGCCTTTAATAGATGAAACAATGTACTTTTTTCAACTTTACAAATCGAGCACGAGAAGGGTTTTTGTGATAAAGCTTCAAAATGTTGTAATTCCACTTCTTTTATTGGTGAGGAAATATAGTATCATGATTGATTGTAACTACTTTATTTCACCCTTTTTGGAACGTCTTTAATTGATGGGTTGGGAAGGTGTTGAATTTCTGACTGCAGTGTTTTATAATAATGAGCATTCCTGCAATAATGATCAAGTCGCTGGCTCCACATTATTTCAAGGGGGGAAGTGATCCACCCTAAACAGTTAAAGTGACTGTTGTCATGTTATTCTAACTTTAGTTTATCTTTATTATGAGTAATATTTAAAGTGACTAATAATGCATTTGTTAGCTTTTGGATTTACTTGATCCGCTCAGTAGTTGATGTACAATCTAACCGGAAAAAAGAACCTGGCCTTAAGCTTTTTATCCTTTTTCTATTTGATCACCTTTTTGCAGGAAGCTTATTGGAGCAAGATATTTCAACAAGGGCTATGCTGCCTATGCCGGCTCACTCAACTCTTCAGTACTGAACACTGCACGTGACTATGATGGACACGGATCTCACACCCTATCAACTGCTGGTGGAAACTTCGTTCCAGGAGCAAGTGTATTCGGCGTGGGAAATGGAACTGCAAAAGGTGGTTCACCTAAAGCTCGAGTAGCTGCATACAAGGTATGCTGGCCTCCAGTAAATGGCAGCGAATGCTTCGATGCTGATATCATGAAGGCCTTTGATATGGCCATACATGATGGTGTCAATGTGCTTTCTGTGTCGCTTGGCGGGGATCCTACTGACTACTTCAATGATGGCCTTGCAATTGGGGCGTTCCATGCTGTAAAGAATGGTATAGTAGTAATATGCTCGGCTGGGAATTCTGGACCCAAGGATGGAACTGTGACAAATGTTGCGCCCTGGATTATAACTGTCGGAGCCAGCACTATAGACCGCGAGTTCCGAGCATATGTTGAACTCCGTAATGGACTGCACCTACAGGTTCAGCTATCTATCTACATAATGTTTTCTTTCTTTTTTTTTGCCACTTGTAAATTTTTTCATTAGATTCTGTTTCTTCTTGTTTACTTGATACCAGGGAACAAGCTTGTCTAAACCATTACCCAAAGATAAATTCTATCCGCTTGTTAGTGCTGCAGAGGCTAAAGCTCCCAATTCATCAGCTGAAGAGGCGTAAGAACAAACTCTTTCTGAGTTCATAAAAATAATGAAGGTGACTCAGAATGTGTTTGTGTTATGCAGGATGCTTTGTAAGGGAGGAACATTGGACCCCGAAAAAGTGAAGGGTAAGATCTTGGTTTGTCTTAGGGGGCAGAATGCAAGAGTGGATAAGGGCGAACAGGCTTATCTTGCTGGTGCTGCCGGGATGATCCTTTGCAATGATGAGTCCAGCGGTAATGAAATTATTGCTGATCCTCACGTTCTTCCAGCATCACATTTAAACTACACAGATGGACTTGCTGTTTATGCCTACATCAATTCTACCAGGTATATCTCTCTACCTCCCTCCCAGCCTCTCCTCTGTCTCTAAGCTTGAAAATTCGTTTATCAAATCTGTGGTGCCATTTTTTGACAGTGATCCAATGGGGTTTATTACCGCTCCTAAGGCACAGGTGTACACAAAGCCAGCTCCATTCATGGCTTCTTTCTCCTCCAAGGGTCCAAATATTGTTACACCAGAGATTCTCAAGGTTCGACCTGGAAATTTGTTGTGTTTCCCTTTCTTGGTGTTTCTCCTATATCACTGTGTAATTGACAAGTGACCACTTATGGGTTGATATTCAGCCTGATATTACTGCACCAGGAGTAAATATTATAGCTGCTTACACCCAAGCAACAAGCCCCACAGATGAAGAATTTGACAAGCGCAGGAGTGCCTTTAACACAGAATCCGGTACTTCTATGTCTTGCCCTCACGTGGCTGGAGTCGTGGGTCTACTCAAGACACTACATCCTGACTGGAGTCCCGCTGCAATTAGATCTGCAATCATCACTACTGGTAAGCATTTCAGTCAGCCAAATGTAGACATGGTTCTTCATGTCATTTAGCAGAGGTGTACTGGCCATAATAGGTTTACTGATGTTTGTGCTGAAATTGTTTATTAATCCTTTGTCTACAGCAAGAACAAGAGACAACACTGTGAATCCACTGCTTAATGCGTCCTACATTAAGGCAACACCATTCAGTTATGGTGGTGGACATATACGACCAAACCGTGCCATGGATCCTGGCTTGGTCTATGACTTAGCTACCGATGACTACTTGGACTTCCTCTGTGCCCTTGGTTACAACCAAACCGCAATTCAACTTTTCTCTGAGGGTCCTTATGATTGTTCTCCAGATTCCAATCTCCTGAACTTCAACTACCCTTCAATAACTGTCCCTAACCTCTCTGGCTCAGTCACATTGACTCGAAAAGTGAAGAACGTTGGTTCCCCAGGCACCTATGAAGCTCTTGTTCGGCAACCACTAGGAGTTTCAGTTTCTGTTAAGCCCACTGTTCTGAATTTTAAGAATACTGGTGAAGAGAAGAGCTTTACTTTGACTCTGGAAGCTAAGAGAGCTGATGTGCCAGAGGACTACGTATTTGGCGAATTGTTATGGTCAGATGGCCACCACTATGTGAGGAGTCCAATTGCTATTGCTTCCACTACTGACTAGACATAATCAGTGAGACCTAAACAATAGGAAGAAGCCCTTTCTAGATGCTGGTCAAGAGGAAGGCTATAGCCCCATTAGTAGCATTAGGAATAAGATACTAGAGTTTTCTTCTTTTTTGTTTTGCTATTTTTTGATTCTTAAATTCTTCATTGAGGGATAATAATTGGATTGGGTATGAAAATCGCGAATATATCTTTGATTGGACTGTGTTTAGTGGGGCAATTGCTCCGTAAAATTGTAGTAAGCAATTCCATTTGGATTTTCGAATGGCATTTATTCATTAACTGTAACCACATGAACAAATGTTTCGCAGTGAGAGGAGAGAGAGGGGGGGGGGGGTATATTATGAGCATGAGGACCCATTTTCAGTCAGATATCCTATCAAACTTAAGGTATGACACCCCAAAATTCAGGTGTTAGTAATTACTAGATTGATCATCTATCAACCTGTGAAATATCCGTGGATAATATGTAATTCGATACCACGTCATTATGCCTCATTTACCGAGATCCATAACTTAAAAAAATTTAGATAGAGTCTCCTTTGTACGAGAAGCTCTATCCAAAATACAACCTGTACAATATTGACCACACCGGGTCTATCTATCCATTCACAATTGTATAGTATCAAATACTACCATAATTATCATCATTATGTACATTCATTCATAAAAGAATAAATGTCTCAAAAGAGTCCCTTATACATGTTTTTTTAAATATAAACAAGTTTTTGTTACAAAAATTACAAAAGGTTAAAAGTAATTATAAACAAGAGATTACGATGCTAAAAGAAGAGCCACAGACTGGCTCTGTCGTCAAAGCGGGCCCATGGCCTCGCCTTCGGTGGATGCCTGTGCAATACCTGAAAAATGTTCCCATAAAGGGTGAGTCAACGCTCAATAGGGTAACTCCTATAGAGAATATCTCTCAACCTAAATGCATATGAAATGTCACATACAACAATCATTTTATATAATCATTCAAATATGTCTATTGTGAATAAATGTCATAAATCATGTCACGCCATGAGATGAGACTCACGAAAATAATACCAACACCGAGCCCCATCTTGAGTTCCTACAACACATGCAATGTCATGCGTATGTATCCGAGCATTTCAAGTTCCCGTCATTGGAGTTATGTACATTCAGTTACTAATTAATTCATTTTCTTGTGTCTTTGTGGGGAGATGATTTATGGTATTACACCAATGGGACACCAACTATCAACGGATTCTCAGGACATACCACCTGCGGCTCCGTTTTGGTCGTTACACTTTTTTAGAATTTCACCGCCGAAAAGTGTATAAACCAAGTAAAGCGAATCTTGCACCCGAGGAAAAATCTAACCCTTCTTGCTATCCCCGACATGTTTATCCATTTAATTTTTTGTGTGATTCAGCCAGATCTTGGTGCGACATTTTTGAGCCCACAATCAACTACCTATGTGGTGATTGATTTCATCCCATGCACACACTCCCACTCATGTCAATGCCCATGAATGTAATGTAACTCATGCATAATGACATTTCCATGTGTAATTGTCTTTAGTACCATTTACGATGTCCATTACATAAAAAATACAATATAATGACATTTTCAACCTGACAACATGTTTATCAATTCTATAAACATAAGCACAAGTCTACCACAATAATTATATACTAAATAATCATTTAATATACATATTATTCCATAATCACATAACAAACTAATAATTTTATTAAACTTGATATGCCATTTAACACATAAAATAATGCTAATGTATAATTAACATGCTTTAAATCACTAACATTAACTTACACCAAGTTAATCATAATAGGATTTTTCTAATTACAAAGTTAATTATAAATCATATATTTGACCCACTAGTTCACTAGTCAAGACCTAACATGTGATATATACTCATAGCCTACCCATTTCATATGTCATATTTTAGGTTGAAAGTAAATCTAAATAGGAAAAACTCTATCTCTCGTAGCGTGAGCCCACGTACTCGAACTCCGAGGAAGCCCAATTTAACTTTTCAAACTTTAAGCCTAGATTATCGTCTTTGATATTCTTTTGGAGAAAAATACGATATTTGGTGTGATTGCATAGCTCTCGCTGAGTAGAACAACTTTAATTCTTGGCCCGAAACAATTAAGCGGTCCAATCTTCATAGATCTGAAGAAGAAGAAAGGAGGAAAATAAAGAAAAAAAAACTATTTTCTCTCTCTCACTCACTCGACAGCCGGCTGGAGGAAGAAAAAGTATAAATTTATAGTTTAAAAATTTACGTTTTTGACCCTTATATTTACAATTAATTATTATTTTACCCCTTTAATTAAGATTTTTAATAATAATAATAATAAATTTTTTTTTCGGATTTTACATTCTCTCCCCCTTAAGGAAATTTCGTCTCCGAAATTATACCCACATGCACATATAACGACATGCATATGCAAAAAGTCATTAAATACTCTATGACTATAAGAGATGTACCTCTATCCTCGAACAGAAATGGATAGGTAGCTTGGATAGTGTCCTCACACTCCCATGTCGCCTCTTCCATCCCACAGTGCTGCCACAGCACCTTTACCAGGCCCACAGTCTTGTCATGCAAAACCTGCTCTCGGTTGTCTATGATACGCACCGGTTCCTCTTCAAAGGTCTCATCCGCATCAACCACTAGCTCACCCCAATCCACCACGTGTGTAGGATCTGGAGTGTACCTTTTGAGCATAGAAACATGGAACATTGCGTGAACACCAGATAGATTTGGCGGTAATGTCAATCGATAGGCTATTGTACCAACTTTCTCAAATACCTCGAAGGGCCCAATATACCTTGGCGACAGCTTTTCTCGCTTTTCGAACCTGACCACTCATTTCTTAGGCATCACCTTTAAAAAGACATGATCTCCGACCTCGAACTCCAAAGATCGTAGCTGTCTATCGGCGTAGTTCTTCTGTCAGCTCTGGGTCATGAGAAGACGTTTTCGTATCAAGTCCACCTTCTCCGAAGTGTCACTAATCAAATCCGAACCTGTGGAGGGTCTCTCTCCAATCTCCGTCCAACAAATCGGAGAACGACACGGCTTCCCATAAAGTGCCTCATAGGCCGTCATCTGCATACTCGCCTGGTAACTGTTGTTGTAGGCAAACTCTACTAATGGTAAGTGCTCCTCCCAACCACCCTTGAGATCAAGGACGCATGCCCGCAACATATCCTCTAAAGTATGGATGGTCCTCTCTGACTGACCGTCCGTTTGGGGATGAAAAACGATACTCATCATCAACTGCGTCCCCATGGCCCGCTGAAAACTCTCCCAAAAATAAGCGGTGAATCTAGGGTCCCGATTCGATACTATAGATACGGGCAGCCCATGTAATCAGACTATCTCCCGTATATACAGTCTATAGAAATCCTCTAGTGTGAAGGTCATCCATACTGCCAAAAAGTGTGCCGACTTCGTAAACCGATCCACTATCACCCACACCGTATCATGCCCCCGTAATGTTCATGACTAGTGGGTCACAAAATCCATCGTGACGTGCTCCCATTTTCACTCAGCGATCTCTAAAGGTTGGAGCAACCCTGCTGGTCTCTGGTGTTCAGACTTGACCTGTTGACATGTGAGACATCGACTAACAAAATCTCCAACGTGCTTCTTCATCCCACTCCAATAATATTGGCGGCGAAGATCATAGTACATTTTTGTGCCACCTGGATGTATAGCAAAACGGGAGCAATGAAACTCCCTAAAGTTCTCCTCTCTCAGATCTGCAGACTAGGGAATCACAACTCTTCCTCTGAACCGAAGACTACCATCCACGTGAATGGCCCAGCCCTCGTCACCTATACTTGACTATACCCGATCTCTGATAGACAATATCTCAGTATCCTGCCCTTGGGACTCGATCACTCTGCTCTGTAAGAAAGGCATAGCCACTAGACTCCCTAAAGTGCCCTAAATTTGATCCCTGTAGTGTAGCCTGAATTGTCCCACAGTCTCGAGTATCAGCCACTGCTAGGAAGCTATACTGGTCAAGACTCCCCGTGACTTACGACTCAGTGCATCAGCCACCACATTTTCCTTACCGGGATGATAATGCAAAGTGAAGTCATAATTTTCTAGGTACTCCATCCACCTGCGCTGCCTCATATTGAGATCTCGCTGCGTGAAGATGTACTTCAGACTTTTATGGTCCAAAAATACCTCAAACTGCTCTCTATATAGATAGTGACACCATATTTTCAAGGCAAAGATAAAAGCTGCTAATTCCATGTCATGCGTGAGATAGTTCTGCTTGTGACTCTTTAACTGCAGAGAACTATAAGCTACCACTTTCCTGGACTGCATCAAAACACACCCAAGTCCGTCCTTAGACGCATCACAATAAACTGTGTACTTCTGTCCCCTCTCCAAAACTATCAAAATCAGAGCTGAAGTAAGTCTTTTCTTTAACTCTTGGAATGCCCTCTCACACGATTCATCCCACTGGAATTTGACATCCTTCCGAGTCAACCTGGTCATAGGTGTGACTAGTTGGGAGAAGTCTTCGATGAACTTCCGGTAGTACCCTGTCAATCCCAGGAAACTGTATATCTTGAAGACTGACTTTAACTTCTCCCAACTCATAACTGCCTCAACTTTCTCCAGGTCAACCGACACCTCCGAAATCGATACCACGTGTCCTAAAATCTTTACCTCAGTAAGCCAAAATTTACACTTGCTAAACTTGGCGTACAACCGGTGGTCTCTCAAGGTCTGGAGAACAACCCTTAAGTGACCCTCATGCTCCTCCTCAGACTTGGAGTAAATCAGTATGTCATCAACAAAGATCATAATGAACTGATCTAGGTAGGGCTGAAACACTCGATGCATAAGATCCATGAATGCTGCCGGGACATTTGTCAATCCAAATGGCATTACAATAAACTCAAAATGTCCATATCGCGTTCGAAATGCCGTCTTCGAAATGTCGGCATTCCTAATCCTCAATTGATGGTGTAAAACCAAAAAAATTTTATTATTATTATTATCATTAAAAATCTTAATTAAAGGGATAAAATAATAATTAATTATAAATATAAGGGTCAAAAACATAAATTTTTAAATTATAAATTTATACTATATATATATAAGTGTGGAAGACTTTAGTCTTCCACTTTTTCTTCCTCCAGCCGGCTGCCAAGTGAGTG